ATAAGCATTGGCAGGCCTCACATTATTTTCAACTTCATCATATGGATCGAAACCATCTATGTTCAAACCAGTTAGATCTTCAAAATTTCATAATATAAATGGTTTAGAGCTAATGGGTCTTATTTTTCAGTTCAAACCTTATTAAATACAGAACCCAGGAGTGCAAAGCAAAAAAGATCATGGAGGCCATTGATTGTGAAGGCTACATTTAAGGAGTTGTGATCATGGGAGAAGAGCAAACGCTAGAAGTTATGTCTACTAGTGTAACCACTATGTTTACACTAGTACGGGAGGTATTATTGTTGCCACATTTAAACCATCCAATTCAAAAGTGACACATCGTAGGCAAAGGGTATTCTGTGGTATTTGATTAGACAGTGAAGAGTCCCACCTTCGAAGGTGCCTACGTGAACCGTAAATGCAAGTTCAACTAGTAAAGACGATGAGCAACATGTGAGAGGCATGTGAAGAAGGAGTTAACAAAGAGCAGTTGCTAGCAGTTACACATGCATGAAGAGAAGATTATGGCCCTAAGAAATAGTGAGATAAATGAGATCATGTTGAAAGATAACAGCTTAACTACTTTGAAGGCATCATAAGAAAGCTATAAATAGATGAAAGTAAAGACTAAGAAAGCCCCCCGACCAAATCCAAACTCTACGTCTTTATCAATATCATTTGTCTTTAAATTTCAATACTTTACTTTTATGCACTGCACTTACATTTCATAAGAATAGATTAACTTTGTAATCTTAGAACTCAGTCGGTTTAAAGTTTCGAAGTTGTCCTTACTAAACGTACCATTTTATAATTGCTTATTCAATTAATTAATTGCAATTTTTACCCAGTGTCTCCCTCTCATTCTGTTGTGAATTTAAGTTAAAAGATTAGTTCATCTTTTCAACACAACATGATAAAGTCTTCTTCATTGAGGCTAAGAGAACATTAACACAATCGCTTGATAAGATTGGCATTTATGATCTGTAAGGACTTTTCAGATCCTTGCTGGCACACTTAAATTATATTTCTAATCCTCTAAGTGTCAAAAATAGCTAACAACAAAAATATAATTAATCACACACTTTTGACATAATTACATTGGACTCTTTTGATGTTACATTAGTTCACTTAACATTTAGGCTATTTTTTGTCAGTAATTTTTTCATCATTAACAATTTATTTGTTTATTTTAGTGTTTGTCCATCATCTGTATTAGTTTCAGTCTTTTTAACCATACTAAAAGGGATATCAGTGTAATTATGTCAAAAGTGTAGGACTAATTATATTTTCTTCAAACTTCAAACAAAGTGAATGTAATTTACCCATTATTATTATTATTATTATTATTATTATTTTTCTAATGTACTTTTTAACAAGTTTAATGTAGAAGTTTTCGTAACAAGTATTTTAAAAGCATTGATTAATAAAAAAACTAAAATAATTATATATTTTTTTATCATTTTAAATTTTTTTACAAAAGGTTTAAGGCACAACCTAACAAAATCCAAATTAAAAAAAGAAAATTTATTTCCCATGAATTTTTGTTCGAAGAACTATCTCAAAAGTGAGATAGTGCAAATTTAAAGTGATCAAAATATGGGCCATGCTTAGAATAATTGTAGTGCATAAATGTACTTTTTCTAACATTTTTTTAAGGGGCTGGGCTTTCCTCTAACTCGTGATCGGATTGGAAGATATTATTGGGCCTGTGGGAGTCTACCACGGGTCTTGTTTCGAAAATTCGAATCGTTCAATGTATAGAACTCGTCAAGTATTATATATTTGTAAAAATCACATTGATTGGATATTGATAGCTATCTTATCTGATCAGATTTCTGTCAACTGTTTATTTTTTCACCGTCTATTTTTTTTATACAAAACTGATTTGATCACATAACTATCGATATCCGATCAACGTGATTTTTTATAGATACTCGACGAGTTCTACACACTAAATAGTTCAGATTATCGAAATAGAACCCGTGGTGGGCCTCAACGGGCCCAATAGTATCCTCAAGTCCGATCACGAACTGAAGGGAAGCCAACCCCTTTTTTAAGTATATAATCAGAAGGGGAAAACAAGCAGGCACATACAGGTTAAAATGGATATACATTTCAAACAATTTAATCTAAACCCAACTATTTACTAAATGGATTTAAGCAGTTTAGATTAAATTAAATACTAAATGCACAAATGAATTCAATTAATCCATTTACTTTATTGAATATTTTCCTAATAAAATGTAATGGTGATAGCAGTGGTGGTGGTGGTAGAGTTGATGGGGTGGATCGGTGGCACTAGCAATTATGGCGGTGGAATGGTGGAATTTTTTAATGCTCTCATTTTAGGGTAGCAAAGCTTCAATTATTAAGTCATGTTTGATTGGAGGTTTGGGAGAAGAGATTGGATTTGTAATCCATGGGGCCCACATATAACATATTTGTTTGTAGAAAAGTGTCATGAGATTATGGGATTGTCATTCCCATAGGAGGGAGGGGTGGGATTAGAATTCCACTCTCATGGATTAAGGGCAGAAAGACCATTTTGCCTCTTATTCTACAAAATTAACAAACTCCGTTTGGCAAGGAGGTTTGGGGTTATTTTAGTCACAAAAAATAAAATAGGTTATTTTAGCCACAACAAACAAAACATCACATCCAATTCATATTTATTATACTATTCTCTCACAAAAAAAAGTCAAAAAACCTTTCTCAAATCAAATTTTTTAACCCAGGCTAAAATAACTAAAAAAGTCAAAAAATCAAAATGTTAACCCACTTTTCAAACGGAGGCTCTATGTGATAAAAACTTTTAACTAATTTGCAAATTTAATCACAACTACCTAATGGCTTCGTTTGGGAAGTTGCTATTTTAGTAGGCTATTTTAGTTTTTAGCTATTTTAATAGGCTAAAATTTTTATGTTTGGGAAGATGATTGGATTTTTTTGTGGTTGGATGTGATGTTTGTGAGAAAAAAAATAAAATGATTATAGGTTTGATGTGATATTCTGTCTTATTAACTATTTTAGCCTATTTTATCTTTTTACAAATTTTAACCTAAACTAAGCTATTTTTTTTCTTGCCCAACACCCACCATCGCATTAATGTACAAATAAGCATATTTTTTCTTACATCTTTAATTTTATAGCCTTAGTGAACCAACTCGCGTCACCTTGAGCGTCATGTGCCCATCACGACCTCCCTGTTCATTGTCACTTCACAATGTTTTGAGAATGATCTTTTGAAATGATTTTTTTTTTCTTTAAAGGATGCAGCCTTCAACATTTTCAATCATACAATATATTACCCTAAGATCACTTTCAAAAAAAAAAAAAAAACCTCTAAAAATTATATTTCAATTTTTACTGTAAATTCCATCTATGCAAAATGAAAAACAACCATGCTAAACTCCAATTTTATCAAATTAGAGAATGAATAGAGTTGGTATTTTTATTGAACTTGACTTAAATTCAGTTCAAAATATTTTTTAATTGTTGGGGATTGTGAGGGTGGCAACAACAGCAATAATGCTAATGCTTTGATGGAAGAGATTGTACTCATATAAATGGGTTTAAATGAAAACTTATGTTCAACCCATTTAGCCTCCGTTTGGCAAGAGCTAAACGGGACTTTTTTGGCTATTTTAGCCACAAAAAACAAAATAGGCTATTTTCAAAAAAAAAAAAAAAACCTCTAAAAATTATATTTCAATTTTTACTGTAAATTCCATCTATGCAAAATGAAAAACAACCATGCTAAACTCCAATTTTATCAAATTAAAGAATGAATAAAGTTGGTATTTTTATTGAACTTGACTTAAATTCAGACTTCAAAATATTTTTTAATTGTTGGGGATTGTGAGGGTGGCAACAACAGCAATAATGCTAATGCTGTGATGGAAGAGATTGTACTCATATAAATGGGTTTAAATAAATAATTAATGTTCAATCCATTTAAACTTATAGAATAGTTACGGAGTAATATTGTGAATTAAACTTATTTTAAATCAAGATGTCCAGTCACAATGATTGGACTTTATCAATAAGTCGCATTCTAACTAAAAACAATTTAAAAAAAAATACAATTCAATTGCTTATATTTCTTATATCATATTTCAACACAAATTAATATAAATAAACTAAAAATAAATCAAAACTCAAACGAAAAACCAAAGTGTGCTAATCCATTTCTCACAATATACATTTCATAAATTTCAAAATGTTCTTATTATCAAAATGAGGGATAAATAAGTTTAAAAAGAAAAAACTAAAAAATTATAAGTAAATAAGTCTAGTTCATAAGATCAACTAGTACTTATCTCTTTTTAATGGAGTTTTCAACATGCAATTTAAACCAATAGGGTACTCAAGCCAAAGATCAATTTCTAAAGCTTTTGGGCTGAGGCCCAAGCTTTAATATTTTGGGGCCGAAAGGATAATTATAGTTTGAAAAACCATTTTACTCCTACCAATTTATCTATTTGTCTATTGTCTGTTTATCTGTCCGTGTATCATCGCATCATTTGTTCATGTATATTTATTTGTTCATCTAATCTATCTATTTGTCCATATCACCACTATTATCATCATTGCTGCTATCGGCCATTGTCAATGTCTTTTTCAATGAACTTTTCGATGCGAATGATTTTTTCCGTAACCTAACCATGCAGTACAATTGAAAAAAAAAAAAAAAGTACTTCTTACCAAACAATTTCACTAAACATGTTGCCATCACTAAAAATAAATAAATTAAATTAAATTAAATACAAAGCATATACTATGAGACCCTATGATCATGGACTTTTCACTAATCATCTCTTATAAATACAGACAAATTGAAGCATATTTCAATGGGATAATTTCATTAATTTTCAAATTAATAATAAATTTTATAAATATTAAAAAAATAAAATCATAATATTTTTTTTATGAAAAATATAACTAAATTTTAAAAATTCCACTGATATAGAATTTCTCCTACTATTTAAATTGGCTGTATTTGGGCTGTCCACGGAATTGGCGTTGGGTTTGGGACTTGTATATCATTATATTCACACACAAGTCCTCTCTCTCTATCTCTCATGTGTCATCGTCTCCACAGCAACATCATTCCTTTTCGCTGGAGCACTAGTATCTGCGAGCACCGCTGTTTTCGCCCTCACATCAATTCCAGGTTCAATCAATCCTCTTTGTTCTTCATCTCTCACTACATACATACAATCTCTGCATTCCATTCCATATCTCTATATATATGTTTGTGTGTGTGTAGGCTTTGGTATAGTAGTAATAGGAATCAAACTGAGATGGAACAAGTTGGTGTTGGTATTGCCTCAAATGGTTCTCCAGAGGTTGCAGTTGTTGTGGTGGGCGACCCAGAATTGCTTCACAAGAAAAAGTCCGCAATTCGGCTTGCTGGCCCTGCCAAACTCCAGGTTTCTGCCGCATTTTCTCGTTTCTTATCGATCCTCGTTTATTTTATTCTCTTCTTGTTGATTTCATTCATTCATTGCTTTACCCAATTTTGGATATAATTTTTCACTTATAACCCTTCACCCCTGGATGGATATATGAGATTTGATTTGTTTTATTTTTATTTTTTTGTCTTTGGATGTAGAATTTATTTTGAACAAATTTGTATGTAGAATTTTATGAGTATTTGTTTTGGGAACTAACTATTTTAGTTGGCGTTTTGAATTTTTATGAAAATAAGTAAATAAGTAGAGAGAATAATTGATTTTTTGGTAGTGTCTTTTTTGCTATTTTAACTAGTTTCCAAACTTGTGTGCTTTAAGCATCCTAATAGAAACCTTATATCCCCTCTTTACCTATTTTAAGGGGTTTGATGGCCCTATACACTTCCAGCAACTCTCTTAAACACTCCCCTAAAATAGCAATTGCTATAGGGCCTCCCTATTTGTAGGGAGTCACTATAGCACCTTTATATTTTTTTGTTTTTTATTTTTTTGTTTTGCTTTGTTTAGGGCCTGTAGTACACATTTATGATTTTTATTTTTTTTTAAATTTATAATGAAAAATTATATTTTAATAGAATAGAGAAAAAATATAGAGTTTGTTAATAAAATAGAGAAAGAATAGAGAGTCTGTTGGGGGAAGTAGATGAAAAAGTGATTTCTAAAATAGGGAATAAAATTTTTAATAATATTTTAGAATAAAATATAAGTAATCTGGTAGGGATGCTTAGTGATGTTCCTCACTGTACAATTAATAATTGCCCCCCAAAAAATAAAGTTAATTACACTTAGCACCTGGCATTTTTACTAAAATCTCAATGTGGTCCTTTCACTTTCAATATATGTTAGACGAACTCTTTTATTTCTCTCAAAGTACCCGTGTCTACCAGATATGGCAAAGATAAATGTGTGGAATATGTGTCCACCGGTACTCAATTTAGACACTTCAATCCTCTAACTTTTTACAATGTTTTGAAGAATAAAAAACTCACATTTTCTAGTATAGAAACATTTATAACCTTTTAATATAGATGAGAGAGAAAAATTCTAACATGGTTTCTATAACCTTATTCAATTTCAATTATATTTTTACATAATTAATAATATCCTATCTAAGAATATTCTATAATATGTAATATGTGTGTCTATAACGAGTCCCCATACCCATATTCTATTTTGGATACATATCGCAATATTCTAAGATTTGAGTTTATGATGGTTTGGCACTTGGACACGCACTCATACCCAAGCCCATGTAGCATAGCTTTCAATTGTAGTGGTTGACTTTTACCCTTTAAAAACTTTTTTTTATTTTCCTTCAAAAACGTAAATGTAATATCATTTGGCTTTATTAAAAGAGAAAGGGAAGGGCAAGGAGTAAGGGTAGGACGCAGGGGAGATTTTTTGTTATAATGTATCCTCATCTACTTGCCATGCTTGTTTCATGTTCGCTTAGATACATATTATTTCTAAATACCCTGATTATGTTGAATCTATGTTCCATTTCCATTTCTACATGCCTTTGTTATGTTTGTTTTTATGTCTCCATAATTATTCATGCCATTTTTCTTTTAAATATTAGGTAATTGCAGATTTTGATGCAACTCTAACAAAGTACTGGATTGATGGCCGTCGAGGGCAGAGTAAGTTATTAGTGGTTCTGTACTCTTTATAATCTCTTCTTTTAATTTGTACACAATTTAATTTTTACTCTCTCATACAATTGTAGGTAGTCATGGCCTTCTGCAACAGGGGAATCCCGTGTATGATGTCAAGAGGCAAGAATTATATGAATATTATCATCCATTGGAATTCAACCCAACAATTCCACTTGACAAGAAAGCAAAGCTCATGGAAGAGTGGTACGTGACTCGATGATTCACAACAAATGATAATTTGCCCCACCAACGATATATCCAACTGGACCGCCTTCATCTGACTTTGAATGTTTTATGCTGACCAATATGGTAGCTTTTAAGCATCTAAACAAGCTTACAAGCCTTTTAATGTGGAGGTTTCTAAGAATTTGATTTTGTTACTTCAGTGGACAGCGGCGAATGCCTTTGCAATTCATGAATGCTTTCTTTTATAGTCTCTCTGATTTGGTACTAAGAAATTGAAGGTTCTTATTTTGTTCATGTAGGTGGGGAAAAACTCATGCTCTTCTTATTGAGGGAGGCCTTACATTTGATGCAATAAAAAATTCTGTGGCTAATGCCACAATTGCATTTAGGGAGGGAGTTGTCGAACTTTTTGAGTTTTTGGAGGTAAATTTCATTGTTCTCTGAATTTTTTTTTTTTTTTTTTTTTTTTGGGGGGGGGGGGGGGTGTTTAAATCACTGCTTTGGAAGAACTTTATGAGTTTTGGAGTTAAATTTAGGTAGCGTTTGGTAGAGCTTTCTAACTATGATTTGAGAATAGGAGTTATATTTTGAGTTTGTGAATTTTGGAATTATGATTTGAGTGTGAAAAATTTGTCTGGTGAATAAGTTTTGAAAAGAGTTTTCAATTTAGTAGGGAATTTTTGATGTAACATGATATTTGATACAAAAACTTACAACTCATAACCAAACACACAACTCAAAATTCTATTAAAACTAATAAAAAAGGAAAAAAAGGGGAAAAAAAAATTGCACTGTTCTGGTTAACCGGTCGGACGACCGGTTAGTCCAAATTTTCCCTCATTCGACCGAGTTTTCAAAAGTGAGCGTGGAATTAATTTTTGAAAGCTGCAAATAAACACCACGTGAGAACCAATGACTGGAACTAAAACTCCAAAACTCAAACAAACAGAGCCTTAATTGTTCTCTTATTTTCTTTTTTCAAGAACTGCTTTGGAAGATTTAAATAATCCTGCTAATTAAGTCAAACAATATAGTGTGGGTGTACTCTTTTAATTCTTGAGTTTTTAGTGCGAGGAACAACTAATATTGGCAATGCAGGGAAGTTACTCTTACCAAGTGAACGTTTAAATTTCATTTTAGAACAAGTTGTGGTAATTTCACAAGTACAATATGGTATCCATGTTAAGATCTCATCTCTTGTGAGCAGGAATATAGATGTCTCTCTCGTAGTTAATGCTACCTTTCCAGCCTTTTCTCTAAGTTTGCTGAGTGACGTGACCTTGAGGCAATGATGTATTTAAGGGTTAGGGTTCTTTGATAATCCCACTAAATGCTTAAAGTTTGAAAACTTCCAGCAGATCATCCTATAATACATCTAATAAACACACAAGCAACTACCAGTTAAAACTGAAATGTACTATGTCTAGTTGAGGATTGATATGTTTTCTCTTGCTTGTTATAAAGGAGGTGAAAAAAAAAAAATGAAGAAGAAGAAGAAAGGCATTCCTCCCAAAAATGGGAGGAAAGGAGGAAGGAAAGGGCTCTCTCTCTCTTGACAAGTTTGGCCTTCAAAAAATTACTTCTCAAATCTTGCCAATAAACAAAACAAAAGGAGGGAGAGATAGCTTCCTTTTCCCTATTAATGCCCATTACATCCTTCACTTTCCCTTCCTCTTTTCTATCCTTTTGTAACAAAATGAGCATGAAAGACGATCTCATTCTTGAGTCCTAGAGGCATGGTTTATCACTAAATGCTATTCATGCATTGATTGTTTAAAATTTTAGTATTGTGTTATTAATATTATTTTTTTGAAACATCCCCTAAGCGGTCTTCTTTAGCTAGTGTGTAAAAGCCACGGTCATTAAGAAGAAAAACTGTAACTGAACCAAAGAATTGGTGGGTGGAGTTTGGCCTCACTTTTCCATTTTTGTTGATATAATCTGCAGGAGAATGATGTTCCTGTTCTTATATTTTCTGCAGGGCTTGCAGATATCATAGAAGAGGTTAGTTTTATGTCCATCTCTGCGTTGCCATGCTCTGCAAGAACTAGACTTTATCTATTATTTTAAGCTCTAATTTGCACTCATAAGTGCCTCTCCTTTCTCACTTTACCAGGTCCTGAGGCAGAAATTGCATAGATCTTTTAAAAATGTCAAGGTTGTGTCAAACCGCATGGTTTTCGATCAGAGTGGTCAACTAGTATCTTTTAAAGGTATCATACCTCCTTCACCTGATAATGGAATTATTTTGCTACGTAACCTTGTGTACATGTTTTGTTTTATTTTATTTTATTTTTTATTTAAAAAAAAAGAAGGCTTCCTAAAATTTCAGCTATACCTTTTCATAAGTGGTGGCTTGCTATCTCAAGTGAATATAATCACTCTGTGGGGAATGCATAGATAATGTCAACCTGCCTTTTATATATATATATATATATTAGGGATAACCCATGCCTAAAAGCACTCACAACAAAACTTAAGCATACATTTTAGTTTTATTATATGACTGCTTAAAAAAATGCTTTTAAAACGTTCTATATAAAACTCGATCATAAACATTTCGTATCCATTATACATTTGTTACCAAAAAATACCACGGAAACCTCAACACACCAAACAATGCACGCCAACCAATGCTCTACAATCTCAAAAAATAATAATAAAAATTAAATAACAAATATTGCACATCAGCCAGTGCTTTGCAGTCCCAAAAAATAAGAATAAAAATTAAACAACAAATAATGCATACTAGCCAGTGCTCGGCAATCCTAAAAAATAAAAATTAAACAATAAATAATGCACACCAACCAGTGCTCTGCCATTTCAAAAAAATAAAAATAAAAATAAAAGTTAAAGTCGAACTTTATATATATATATATATATATAGAGAGAGAGAGAGGGGGGGAGAGAGAGAGACTAACTTTCCAAACTATGTATGTTTATAATAAATGAGTCAAAATATATATTTTTACAAAGAGTGGGTTGTAGCTAGCGTTTCCCCGAAATTCACTTTCAAAAAATTTCTCAATGTCTTCAAACTTGATCGTCCCCAAAATTCACTTTCAAAAAAGTCGTTGTATCAACTTGTATGTATCCCCAATGAGGGGCATGAACTCATATCATGACACCTCCATCAGAGCAATTTTGTCATAATTGTCATAATTTTCCTTGTGAATTTTGTCAAAAGCTCCAATTTTGTCATCATTGAAACTTTTAAAATTTAAATTGTATTGAACTGAAATGTGAACAGCATTACAGTATTAAATGGGAGCATAAAGTTTATTTTATATAAATGAAACAACTCACTCAATCATTCTTTTCTCAATTTGGAATTGTGTAAACTAAAAGCTAATAATTGTTTAGGTGAGAAATTTATTTCGAATCAAATAAATCTAACCAATATATTTTGATGAACCACTAACATCGCAGTTAAACCAGCAAATCAGTCAAACCAAAAACGGTTCAGCCAAATCGGCTAAATCAAAAAACAACCAACTTACCCAAAAATTAGTTAATTAAAATTTTTAAATTTTATTTAAAAATTTAAAATGTCTTGAACTGAAGCATGCACATCACTACAAATATTAAATGAGAGCATAAGGTTGACTTTATATAAGTGAAGCAATTCACTTTTTTTTCTTTTCCCGATGCGAGATTCTGTAAAATAAAAGTTAAACAATTGTTTGGGCGAGAAGTTTATTTCGAATCAAGTAATCTCAGCTATTCAATAGGTCAATCCGCACCGTTCTAACCAATTATATCTCTTAGACATTTTTGAAATCATCTTGTTTTATTATATATATATATACATAAATTACACACTTTTTTGTTTTTTGTTAGGCAGTGTAAAGGAGTTTATTTAGTAACCATTTGTTCTTTGATTGTTGAAACATTTGGTTTTGAAATTTTCTATGATTCACTGCAACATCAAGAATCCTGTTATTGTTACAGGGAAGACGATTCATGTTTTAAATAAGAATGAACATGCTCTTGATATGGCTGCCCCGGTTCATGATCATTTGGGTGATCCTGATGGGCCAATTGATGACACTGCCTCTGTAAAGAAGAGAACTAACGTGCTGCTTCTCGGTGATCACATTGGAGACTTGGGAATGTCCGATGGTTTGAACTATGAAACACGAATATCTGTGGGATTTCTGTAAGTCCTTAAAATTTGCTCAATCTATATTACATCTCACTTGGATTCATTTTAAATATTTATATAATTGGCTAAGAAGCAAGGACACTTCTAAAAAGGTGATGTATTCGTGTTGTGCCCTGTCGGACATTGACACTCTTTTGACACTTCCCGACATGTGTCCGACATTTTTCAAAACGTGTCTTATTTTTTAATTTTTTTAAAAGACCCAAACACTTTTTGGATACTTGGAGGATATATGTGTTTATCGCTTAAACCCACGTGCATATCGATTAGACACGGGTAAAACTAATTATAAGTTTAAACAAAATAACTTAATATACAATAATAAAATAAAAACCATATAAATTTATAGGAATTAGTGTCTGTGAGGGCCGAATATTGGGAGTCGCAGAGATGCTGAATAGTCGAACTCTGGGTCGAAATATATAGCATTCGGCGCCATCTCACACGCTCGAACCCTATCCTATTCGGCCCAATAGCCGGTCGAATAAGGGGCCGAGTGAAAAGCGGTTTGTTACAGTTGAAGCCGAATAGCGAATTGAAAGCGGACCGGATCCCGAGGCCCAAGAAAGAAAAGATATAAATAGAAGAACATCAGCCAGGAAAAGGTATGTGAGAACTATTACACTTTACTTAAAATACAAGTAATTCAAAGAGTAGAGACTAACTTGCCCGTCGGAGTGCTAATTCTGGCACCCCCGACCGGAGTGTTGATTCTTTTTCAGATGGCTAACAGAGGACCTCGAGCGTCCCCCAGGATCAGAAGAGTATTTCCAAACCACTTCTCCACAATTGGCGCCGTCTGTGGGAATACTCAAATACATCCATGGCGGGCGTAACAAAAGACCCTCCGATAGTTGCTGCTGGAAATTTGTGTTAATGTATATAATATGATAGTGGTGTTAGTGGTAGATAGTGGTATGTATATAATATGATAGTGGTGTTAGTGGTAGATAGTGGTATGTATATAATATGATAGTGGTGTTAGTGGTAGATAGTGGTATGTATATAATATGATAGTGGTGTTAGTGGTAGATAGTGGTATGTATATATATAAATAGAAGAACATCAGCCAGGAAGAGGTATGTGAGAACTATTACACTTTACTTAAAATACAAGTAATTCAAAGAGTAGAGACTGACTTGCCGTCGGAGTGCTAATTCCGGCACCCCGACCGGAGTGTTGATTCTTTTTCAGGTGGCTAACAGAGAATCTCGAGCGTCCCCCAGGATCGAAAGAGTATTTCCAAACCACTTCTCTACAATTGGCGCCGTCTGTGAGAATACTCAAATACATCCATGGCGGGCGTAACAAAAGACCCTTCGATAGTCACTAATGAAACCACGCAGAGAGACGACCTCACTCCAACAACCATGCTTGGACCAGAGACCATCGCCGCAAGACGAGCCTTAAACTTGGCCTCACCTTCGACTTCAGAGCATGAGACAATGCAGGCGATCATGGAACAAGCAAAGCAAAATGAACAGAGGTTGGAGAACATGATCGCTAAGAACGAACGTCTCCGTCAAGATTTGGCCTTGGAGGTGGCGAAGTCTAAACAAGCTGTACGCCTAGATCCCGAACGACCTCTGAGGACAGGTGGTCGACGACCTCGAGCCCGACAAGTTGACACTGATAGTGACTCCGATTCATTATCCCCGGAGCCCAAGAAGAAGAGGCGACCCGAAATTACCAGTTCTTCTGAAGAGAGTCCCCGTATAAGGCATAAGCGAAGAAGAAATAGTTCAGATGAAGAAGACTAGCACGATCCCTTTGTACAACGGATTGCAAAGGCAGTGCTACCCAAGAAATTCAAAGCACCGTCATTCACCTTATACGACGGTAAATTAGACCCCACCGATCACATCAGCCATTATAAGCAAGCCATAAGGCTGCATGCAGACGATGAGGCTCTTATGTGCAGAATATTTCCAAGCAGTTTGGGACCACTAGCTGTCAGGTGGTATTATAAACTAGAGCCAGCTTCAATTAAAAGCTTCCACTAACTCCAAAAATCCTTTAGGGCAAGGTTTATCACTAATGAGGTCCAGCCAAAGCAAGCCGATTCCCTCTGGGCAATGCAGATTCAACCGGGGGAAGCCCTTCGTGCGTATTCGGCGCAGTATTGGGAATGTTTCAATCTGGTAGACGATGCTTGCAATGACTCCATGACCATCACCGCTTTCAAGATGGGGCTGCAACCCGACAGTGCCCTCCGCAGCTCTTTGACTAGACGGCCACCCAAAACAGTTTGGTCGTTGATGAAGAAAGTTGAAGAATACTGTAAAGTGGAAGATGATGCCTTGCGGGTTTAGGCCAGAAATGTAACCAACAAGACGGCTCCTTCTCAAACTGCTCAACCGTTGAATTCTGTAGCACCTCAGAGCCCTGAACCACGACATCGGGCAAAAAGAGATAAGAGACGGGACTCTAGCCGATCAAGTGACTAATGCTCCCACTGGGCAACTGTACAGCTGCAAGTCGACAGCAGGCGCACAAGCCACGCCGACAAGAAATATACAGAGTTGCCAGAGCCGATCAGTGCGATCATGTCCAAAATCCAACACCTTCCATTCTTCAAATGGCCATCCAAAATGGTGGAACCTCCCGACACTCGCAGACGGGATAGGCGGTGCAAGTATCACAAGGATCATGGCCATGAAACTGAGAGTTGTTATGCATTGAAGGATCACCTGGAGGAATTGGTGCAGGATGGTCGGCTACAACAGTACGTCCGATCACTTCTGTTGATGCTGTTAACTGTAACCGTCCCCAAATACTTTTTAGCTCGCATCTTTGACAACCTTGTGCAATTGGCTGGGTGATGCTATTTGTTCCCCAGCCCGCAGTTTCTGCTCTCAGGATGTACTGTGGACAGTTGGTGTATTTCCTAGTTTTTTATAGCAATCTTAGTTCAGATCGGGAACATGTGTAGGTTGTGAGATTGTTCAACCTTCATGTGGTTGGTTTAAGGTGGGGTCTCACATTTGGTGCTTTTTTTCATATGGAGACTGTTACACTGGTATTGCATAAAGACTGCCATTATGATACACACCTTTGTTCCCTTTTATTGCTGAAATTACAGCATTCCCTTCCTCACACTGTTTCTCTGCTTTTGTTCTTACCTGATACTGCTCCTTTGTAGGTGGGAACCTAGTTACTTGGCGGAGTAAAAAACAGAATGTGGTAGCTAGAAGTAGTGCAGAAGCAGAGTTCAGAGCTGTTGCCCATGGAATCTGTGAAGTAATGTGGATTAAAAGAATTCTTGAAGAATTAAAGCTTTCTCACCCGACACCTATGAAGGTCTATTGTGACAACAAAGCAGCTATATCTATAGCTCATAATCCAGTTCTACATGATCGCACAAAACATATAGAAGTGGATAAACATTTCATCAAGGAGAAAATCAATGCTGGCATAATCTGTATGACCTACCTTCCAACAGGTGAACAATTAGCTGATGTGCTAACGAAGGGACTACACATAAAATGTGTTTTTTTGGGTTATTCTTCAAACAAAAAGGGGTATAAGTGTTTCGATCCTCAAACCAAGAAATTTCATGTGAGTATGGATGTGTCATTTGTGGAAACAAAATCCTATTTTCCCAACACTTCTCTTCAGGGGGAGACAAGTGGAGTAGAAGACCGTTTTTGGGATATTTCTATCCCGCTCCCCAATGTCATTTATCCTACCCAAAAACCACATCTGTCTGATAGTGATCACTTAGGAGAACCAAGTTCTATGGTGCCTAGTCAAGAAGATTTTTGTTTAGGGGGAGAAGTACTACAAAATGATCTAAATCTTGAGCTTCAGGTTTATACTAGGAAGCGATTTCATCTGAGGAATAATGACCCGAATGTCCATCCTAATGACCCGAATGTTCACCCGAGTTCTGGCATCGAAATTTTAGGTAATCCTATTCCTTCTATTTCTGACCTTGATGTTCCTATAGCAATTAGGATAGGTGTCCGACATTGCATTAAACATTCTATTGCAAATTACCTCTCCTATCAAAGACTGTCTAAAAACCATATAGCTTTCACATCTAGGATTTCCAACTTGTTTGTTCCAAGGAATATACAGGAAGCATTGGATGATCCGAATTGGAAGTTAGTAGTCATGGAGGAGATGAATGCTTTAAGGAGAAGTGGTACTTGGGAGATAGTTGATCTACCCAAAGACAAGAAAACAGTTGGGTGTAAATAGGTGTTTACGATAAAATGTAACGCAGATGGAAACGTTGAGAGATACAAGGCGAGACCGGTGGCTAAAGGCTTCACTCAAACTTATGGGATCGACGATCAGGAGACGTTTGCTCCTGTTGCTAAAATAAATTCAATCAGAGTACTGTTATCTCTTGCAGTAAATTCAGATTGGCCTCTACATCAACTTGACATTAAAAATGCATTTCTCAATGGTGATCTTGAAGAGGAGGTGTTCATGAGCCTACCGCCGGGATTTGAGCAGAGACTTGGAAGCGACAGAGTATGCAGATTGAACAAGTCATTATACGGACTCAAACAATCACCAAGAGCGTGGTTTGAACGCTTTGGGAAGGCAGTTATCAGTTGTGGCTTCTCGCAGAGTCAAGCAGATCACACAATATTTTATAAACATTCAAAAAACAGTAAAATTGCAATTTTGATTGTTTATGTTGATGACATCATTTTAACTGGTAATGATGAAGCAGAGTTAGCAGCCCTCAAAGAGAAAAACATATTCACCTACCACACTCAACACTCACCTAACACACTTACATCTACCTACCACACTCAACTCTCACCTAACACACTCAACTTTACCTACCACACTTACAATTGTTTTTAAAAAATCTTACGCGTCATACAAATTTCAAAATGTCTTTCTCCTATATTTTTGTTCGAGAGTTGAGATCACTTTAATTTGATGGAATGACTGAGATCATTTGCCAAGAATTTGATTCCCGCCCATTACTCTCCTATTTCTCATTTACTTGACCTTTTCTTTCCTTTTTCCTC